TATATATATATATATATATATATATATATATATTAATCTTGTGGTGTACCAGTGGAATAAGCTTCTTTCTTTTTATTTTACTAAAATTTCCTGCATTTAGGAATTTACTCTATCAGAGATGTTTGGAACAATTTTTGATTTGCTACTACTTTGCTTTCCTGTTAAGTCCGGCATTGATAGTGTAATTCAACAGCCACTACTTTTGAGAAAGGCAAAGATTACTACCATAGAGATAAAACCTTTTTTTTCTGAATTGCTTGAATTTGACAAAACTGATTTTTCTTTTAACATTAAGCCAAATGAAAGTTCCTATTATGTATTTTCAGGGAATGTTAAATAAATAGAAGGCAAATTGATTATTATTTTCCAACACAAATTTAGATGACTGTAGAAATTAACTAATATTGATGGTATGTTTGGTTGATGGCAGCATAATAAATGGTCCTTTGTTTTATCCCAAGTCCATGGAGAAAATAAACATCAGACAGAGCTCTAATCTCTAGGATATACAAAGAACTCAAAAAGTTAAACAACAAAAAACCAAATAACCCAATCAACAAATGGCCAAGGACCTGAACAGACACTTCAGAAGAGGGTATACAATCAATCAACAAATACACGAAAAAATGCTCACCATTGCTAGCAGTCAGAGTAATGCAAATTAAAACTACTGTAAGATACCATCTCACTCCAGTAAGAATGGCAGCCATTATGAAGTCAAACAAGTGCTGGAGAGGATGCAGGGGGGGAAGGGGGAGGAAGGTACACTCATACATTGCTGGTGGAGCTGCAAATTGGTGCAGCCAATTTGGAAAGCAGTGTGGAGATTCCTTGGAAAACTGGGAATGGAACCATCATTTGACCCAGCTATTCCTCTTCTCGGACTACACTCAAAAGACCTAAAAATGGCATACTACAGGGACACAGCCACATCAATGTTTATAGCAGCACAATTCACAATAGCTAGACTGTGGAGCCAAACTAGATGCCCTTCAATGCATTAATGGATAAAAAAAAAATGTGGCATTTATACACAATGGAATATTACTCAGCACTAAAAAATAACAAGATCATGGAGTTTGTTGGGAAATGGATGGCATTAGAGCAGATTATGCTGAGTGAAGTTAGCCAATCCCCATAAAAACAAATGCCAAATGTCTTCTCTGATATAAGAGAGGTGACTCAAAAAGGGGTGGAGCATGAGAAGAAAATTACCTCTAGATAGAGAAGAGAGGTGAGAGGGAAAAGGAGGGAGAATGGGAATTGCATGGAAGAGGGAAGGAGACCCCCTTCATTATGCAGAATACAGGTATGACGATGTGAGGGGGAAAAAAAAAGAAGTGTGTTACATTAGATTGGGTAGTAGAAGTGATGGAAGGGGAGGGGAGGAGGGAATGGAAGGACATTAATAATAATAGACATTATTATTGCTGTGGGTATGTACGTGACTGCATGACCAATGTGATTCTGCAACCTGTACACTCAGAAAAATGAGAAATTATATCCCATCTGATTCAATTGTATATGTCAAGATCATTGTACTGTCATGTGTAACTAATTAAATAAACAAAAAAAAGAAAAAAAGAAAATGAACATTGCATACTAAGTTGAATATAATCATGCTTCCTAAAGCATCTATGTTTATTGATTATCATTATCAACAATAATCCTTTTTTATAAAGGCATTGTTAATTTCAAATGCAAGCCCAAGATATTGAAAAATTCTATCAGTAGGGTTCAAGCAATATCAAAGATTAACTAAGAAAATTGACAGAAATTATTAAAAGGGAACTCAGGAAAAAGTATAAATGAGCAAAAAACATACAATGAAAAAATATACAATATGACAGTTCTGACAAAATTGGACTTGGAATATATTTTACCCACTAAACAAGAAAATATTTTGAACAAGTAATTGAAGAAAGAATAAGAAATGAACTTTAAATTATTTCTGGAAGATAAAATTGATACAACTTCTCTGGGAGGTATTATAACAATTACTGATTCAAGTTGAGATTTTCAAAGAAAAATAGGACTTGAATATTAAACAAGTTTGTTGTTCTTAAATAGCACAAAACTAATTTGATATCAACTAATTCTCTCTCTCTATTTTAACTATATGCACTTATGTATTCATGTATAAGTAATCATAAATCAGAATGTTGATGAAAATTGAGCCTGGTATTCAGGACAATTTTCCATAAACAGATACAACTTAACATAGAGTATGTGAGATAGCAGGTGTGCAATAAATTTTCAATAAATGGTTGAATGGATGAATGGATGTATTGGTGGTTCAATAATACATTGATTCTAGGACCTTTGAGTCTATGATGACTCTTTCTACTTCTTTTAAATATTCTATTTCT